GGACAAATGGAAAAATGTCCCCCGAATGTCATAAAGTTGAACAAAATGTTAATGCTTCCAAAATTAATTTAGAGATTTAGTGTTATACCAACCAAAATACTGACAGGCTACTCTAGAACTAGCTATGGTCATTAAAAAATATCTAGGGAAAAAAAGAGATAGGCAAGTGGGGCTGTGAGAAAGAATATTGATAAAAGGAGAATCATCCTGATTAATTTATTTTAAAAAAATTAAAATGTTTTGTTTTGACAAATCATTTACTTCTCAATAATCTAACATTCCCGTGAGAACATTCCGGAATTTCTATAATTCCAGAACAATTCTATTTCCCAGTATATTCATCAGACTTCATTACATTTCTCGGAATTCTTTAAGTTCTTTGTTTCTTATGGTAAAATGTTCCATTCTATTCATATACCACAGTTCAGTCATTCCTCAGTTGTTAGGCCCCTAAATTGTTTTAAACATTTTGCTATTAAGCTATTATTTTTGGTACATTGTCATACATTCTCATATGGTTTGCTCCTAGAGTATTTCAAGAGGTTAAATGAGTGGATTGTGCTTGGTGTGGGTTCAGCACAATCAAAGGGTGAAATCTTCTGGTCTCCCAGGAGGTTGCCCCTGGGTATTTACCCTTTTTTCATAACTTCAGATAAATTTTGCAAATATGTCCAAATGCAAGGGATATAGACATCTTTTGGTCCTGATAGATCAACTCAACACTTGGCCTGAAAAATTTCTAAGCCATAGGGCTGTAGCTGAGGTGGTGATAAAAGACCTTAAAAAAAAATCATTCCCCATTCAGTCTATCCTTAATTATTGAAAACAAGCAGGAGACTTTCTTCACTGGTAACATTATTCAAAGATTTACCCAGATAATAGGGACGCAATAAAAATAATACACACCTCATCATCCACAGTCTTCAGAACAAGTAGAGAGAATGAATGAGTCAATTAAAACCAAACTAGGGGCAGGTAGGTGGCACATAGAGCACTGGCCCTGGAGTCAGGAGGACCTCAGTTCAAATCCTGCTTCAGATACTTACTAGCTATGTGATCTCGGTCAAGTCACTTAACTCCAATTGCCTCCTACCTCCCGCAAAACAACAACAACAAACTAGCCGATATCTGCCAACATACAGGATTAAAATGGCCATTTGACCTTCCATTAACATTATTTTCTCTTAGGACCTCCCCATGGGCAAAACTGAAGTTTTTATCATTCAGAATCATTTTTGGCAGACTTCTTTTGTCATTATCTTCTCTCTTCCTTGCTCCTGTTTCTTCACTGAGGGACTGAGGTGGGTGGGAGGGGCGGTGGGAAGAGGGAATGAGGAGGAGGAGGAGGAGGCCTTTGCAGTACCAGTTATCCTTCCTTCACAGGTATGTAGCTTTGGGACAACCAGTACCTTTGGATGTCCCTGCCCACTGAATCCTACCATATGACCAGTCTTTGTACAGACCTAGCACAAGGATCCACTGGAATCCAAGTTAAGAGGTACCTTCCTGGTGCTTTTGACTACCCCAGCATCAATCATGGTCAAGGGAAAGGAAACCTTGTTCCTCTACACTAGAGTTAAAAAGGATCCCATAGGAGGAAAAGATACTGAGGTCCTTAAACAGGACACTGGACTTGTGGAAGCAGATCACTTTGGACTTTGAGGGAACAACACAGGCATACCTTCCAGAAATGGTAATCTAGAAGCAGATGAGTGTAAGGCCTGCCCTTTAGCTGGCATGAAAGCTTAAATTTTCTCATGTGAACTGTAACCAAGGCCTGATCTAATAAAAATTGAGAGTTTTGGTTTTTTTTGGTTTTTTTTTCTTGGTTTTTGTTTTTGCTTTCTGCTTGGTGGTTAGGGGAGAACCGCTTCTGTTTCTTGGAGTCCTGGTAACCATTATCATTGTATTGGCAGAGTTTGTGGAAATATAGTCATATTAGATTATGAGATTTTAGAGTTAAGGTTCAGTATCAATGCCCTTCCCTTTGTTGTGATTCACCTGAAATTATAGTTGGCATTAATAGCCCATCTGAGCAGGTGTGCCTTTCCCCTCATTTCCTGGTGTTCAAATAGTCCAGTGATCACTGGGCATCTCAGCAATAATAATTCATGTAAAACCCTGATGATATCCCTCTCCAGCTCTTCCAGTTCCTGTAACAACCTTAACCAGCCCCTCACCCCACTAAGAGCCCATCTATAGAGCTTCTATCAGCTAAAGATGAAGACTGGTACTCAAATTCCTATTTGAGATTATTGCGTAAAGTGGCCCCGGTAACTGAAGCAAACTGTTGAGTGTGTATGAATGTTTCCACCCCACGCTAAGGGAGTCACCCCTATGATTGCCCTGCTCTTGATGATAGGGGAGCTGGCTAGTGCTATTCCTAAGGACTGGAATATCACCATTTACAATTATACTTCCTACATTACCATTACATCAGAGGTAGTGTTTGCTCTGGAAATGGGACTTCACTAGGGTACACTTGCTGAGTATAATTAATCAAATGAATCTCGAGTAGTCCCTGCATGGAGAGACTTTTGCCAATAGAACCCTGGAAATGTTGTGGGAAATTTTAATGAATAGCCAGAAAACCACCTAACCTGATAGATACTCCAGATGGGCTGTTTGACCTATGGTCTTTTTTGGGTATATAGGCATAGGGCAATAGTTTACATTACCTCCCTCAATAGGTAGACTCTGCTATCTGGGGAGTAATCATACTTGGCATTCACATATAACCCACACTTCCAAAGGGTGGATCTGGAAACTGAGGTCCCCTGTCACTCAATTAAATTATCTTAGTGACATCCAGGCTATGGGAGAATCTTACATCAGAGGGTTCTTTCCTCATTATGGGATAAGTTAATCACATTGGCATTTGTTGATTATTGGATTTATTGATGCTTTGTTAAAAGATTCATGAATGAATCTATCAGCACTGCCAAATCATTACTAATATGACTAAAGTTAGACAGTTAGCATTTTTGAATCTCATAGCCCTTGATTCTTTTTTCTTTTTTGAATTTTTTTTTAATGAGGCAGTTGGGATTAAGTGACTTGCCCAGAGTCAGACAGCTAGTGAGTATTGTATCTAAGGCCAGATTTGAACTCAGGTCCTTTTGACTCCAGGGCGGTGCTCTATCCACTGCTCCATCTTGATGCCCTGCCCTTGATTCTTTACTAGCTAGTTAAAGAGGTAGCTTAGTGGGGGTTAAATAATACCTTAATTAAATTAAATACCTTAGTAGGGACTGCATGCTACACTTTTGTATCTGATCAAACACCCAATGCTGTCTGCCATGTGAACTGAATTGGAAAGTTGCAATCAGAATTAGAACACATTAAATGTGAAGGGATATCTCAATGGGACATTTGGGCTTGGTTGCTAGATTTAGGCTGGATTAAGGAAGTTTTGAAAACCCTGTGCTTTATGATACTAATTATAGTTACTGTATTAATTTTGCTTTGCTCTAATATACAATGTTTCCCAATGATTTACATGTTTACATGCCTTTGGAAATTCCTACCAATAAACATGTAAGAGTGTATCCTGAGAAGAAATTGCTAGATTGTATAAGTATATGGTTCTAGAGTAACCATATGTATAATCTGGGACTGAATTCGGGGACGGATAAAAGAAAGACACTGATGGGAAAGAAACTGTGGCTCAGGTTTCTTGTTGCCACTGTGATAAGAAAACGACTGTGATGGAAAAGAAATTGGCTCAGACTTCTGTCTGCCACTATGACAAGAAGAGGAGGCTGCCTCAGTGTCTGTTTTGAGCTTCTGGACATTGTTGCTAGAACCTAGATCATACCGCTTGCAACAATCAAGTTTGGGATATAAACCACAGTTCCAGTGATCAGCTGTTTCTGGGGGCAGATGTCTTTATTTTTCCCTTCTATTACTTGTTTCAGATGTATGCCTTTATCTTTCCCTCTTTGTTGTGTTAAATTCCATTTTCTTGTGCTGTTTATGTATTCACTTTCTTTATAAGGGTGCTCTGAACTCATTACTATATACAATCAGCATAGTCTGTGCTCTGAGCACAATAAAAATTGCAGTTGCTCTCTTTGCGTTGTTGATTTGGTGATTTACAACAGTACCTAATTAGTTGACCTTTGTACAATTTTATCTCATCATCTTTCATACAATTTAGCAGAAAAAGTTAAAATCCTATATTGCCTGACCCGTAGGGACACCATTAAGTGGTTTGTGAAACTTGACACTCTCATAAACTTTATTGAAAACAACACACAATAAAAGTTATATAACTGATCATACTGTTTTACCCAGTAATCATGTTGCTTGGACTGTGTCCTAAAGATGTCATTAAAAGGAAGAAAGATCCTATCCTCAAAATGTTCAGGCCTATTTTACTTATGAGAGACAACATTGCATAGTGGAATGAGTGCAGGACTTGGAGTTGGGGAGACCTGATTTGGATTCTCTCTGGTCCACAGTTTCCATGTTTTCATCATATGGGGATAATACTGGCTATAGCACCTGAGTCTTACTGTTATTTCAAGTGAAATAGCATATAAAGTACTCTGATAGATGTCAGCTATTGTTGTTAATGATGGGGAGTAGCTGAATAAATTATTGTTTATTAGTATAGTGAAACACATCAGAGACAAAAACAATAGAAGGGAATGTATAAAATCCCATGTGAAGTGATGGCAAAGCTAGATGTGTGGAATTAGAATTATGTTCACATTGATTACCAATGTGCATGTGTATATTCAGAACTTTCCTAGGTGTACAATGGCCTTAAAGCAATTGTGTTCTTTTTCATTTTGTTAGAGGGCATGGTATGGAATTTTCTTTTTAATTAAAATGTTAGTAGTTTAAATTTTAGAACTTTATTTGGAAATTTGCCTTATTTGTTTATTAGTATTTGGGGTGCATGTTAATTTTAAGAAAAATACTGTATTTCCTGTTTTTTTAATACTGAAATCTTTGAAGCCTGAGTATGAATTCTGTTTTTTCTTCCATTTCAGAAGCCAGAGAGAAAGAGGAAGAACTGCAGAAAGAGAGAGAATTAAGAAGGCAACATGAAGATAATGAATCAATACCTTCAGGCTCAAGTTTGACCAAACATCCTTCTGTATCAGCTTACAGGTGCCTAGTTTTCTAAGAAGGAATTATGCAACATTTTCAGTTGTCTAATTATTTAATACATTGTCATAATATTGCTGTTATTGTTTTGGTGATCAAAAGGCAAATTTAAACCTGATTATCAAAAAGAACAAAAACTTGCACATTTTTCTTACTTTTAGACAAATTCAAAGTATACATCTGTAAGTCTAAGGCCATGAGAAATTATATCTGTTATATTCTAAACAATTTGAGTTTTCCTTGTCCAAATGTAGTATATTTATGCATTTTCAACACAGAGTGCATTATTACAGATTTAGCAAGAAATCTGTTATTTCACATTTTTTTTGTCTAGTTAATTTTCTCAGTATCTGTATATTCTTTTGTTTCTTTTTCAGAAAATTTATATTTATGGTACTCTTTTTGCTAATTTGAAATAGGTAGTGGAAAATAATAAAAAGTAGACATCTTGTTAAAATTTACTGATTTAAGGAAGATAAAGATGGGGAGGGAATAGCTGATAAGGCTATATATGTAATTAAGGACATAGTTTCCTTGGTATTCTTTTATATTTTTATATTTATATTTTTATATATATATTTAATTTAATGCATTTAAAGCCATTATTTTGAGAAGGGGCCTGTAAACTTTACTAGACACACAAAAAAATTAGTCTCTCAATTAGAGGGAAAGCTTAATAATGCAAAAAAATTGACAGTTTGTGAACATGTGAACAAACCACCAAGGGAGTAATGTCCTATTGTATAAATATCTCATATTTGTATTCCTTTGTTGAGGCTGGGGGATAGATTATTTAGGTGTCTTAAAATCCTGATTGGCATTTTGATTTTACATCAAATAATTGGAACTTGGAAATTGATCTCAAAGATGCAAAAAGAGAATTTTTTTTTTAAAACAACACATTCATAAGCTCCAGTTGGATATAGCAAAAGAGAAAAACAAGGAGACAGTATTTTTTTAGTTTTTAGTTTTCCCAGGGAAATGATTGCAATGCCATCTTATGAATTATGCAAGTCTACCATATTTTGGATGAGGCATGGTAGGAAGCATTACTACATCAGTCTTCTGGAGAATCAACAAGGTGATTGTTTTCTTTCTAAACTTAAAAAAACAATTTCCCTTAATGGAGACTTGTAAAATGATTTCTTAAAAATTCTGGAAAAATGTATTTTTGTTTAGGGAAACATTGAGAGTCCTTAGATTGAATTAGTTAACGGATATCTTTTTGAGATATCATGTGGTAGAGAAAATGATTCCCAGAACCTGGGGAATAGGAAAATTGATTATTTTGCTTTTGATCAATCATTTCCATATTTTCAGGTCGCTTATGATAGACATCTGAGTTTTACCTTTGAATGTGGGAGCTGGTGCGAGAGGACATTAATTACCAATTCCTATTGGTTGTACATTGGCATTCTCTCTCAAATCTGCTTCATCTTTTCTGATTTCCTGGTCACCATTTTACTAGAGGCTCTCATTACTGCCCAATAGACTATTGAGGTAGCCTCCTAATTGGTCTTCCTCACCCTTGCCTATAATCAATCTTTCCTGCTGTAGCCATATTAATTTTCCTTTTGCATAAATCTAACTATGTCATTGCTCTTCAATGAGTGCCCTATTTTTTGGCAAATAAAAGCCCAAATTCTTAACTTGTCATTTAAGGACCTTTCAGTTTGATGTCTTCCTCCTTCTTTTAGTTGGTTTTATACAAGCTTGGTTTTAGCCAAGCTTGACCATGAACTGTCCGTGGTAAACATCCCACCCTTTTCTGCCTCTGTCACTTTGATTCTGCCTTTTCCCATGGAGGGGATGTTCTCTGCATTTTGAAATCTGACTTGTCCTGATAGGTCCAGTTTATTTACTCCTCTCTACCCAGTTGGAAGCTTTACTTTCCCCTACTTCTCATAATGCTTCATGTCACTAGTATTCTCATTATATTTTCTTCTGCCCTCTAGGGATCAGTCCTAAGATTTTGTGGTGAGATGGTTTGATTCTGTATTATGCATAGCATATTAGCTTTGTGACCATGAATCTTTTGACCTCCCTGAATCTCAATTTCTTTGTGTATAAAATGGCGATAAAAATGCCTGTAGTATCTATCTTTTATGGTCATTGTGAGGATCAAATGTGGCTGAATTCACATCTGGCCTCAGACACTTACTCGCTGTGTGACCCTGGGCAAGTTGCTTAATTTGTTTGCTTCAGTTTCCTTGACAGTCAAATAGAGATAATAATAGCCAGCATCTACCTCATAGTGTTGTTGTGAGGATCAGATGAGATATTTATGATACACTTAGCATATAGTAGCTGCTTACTAAATGCTTCTTCCATTTCCTCCCTTCCTTCCCTTTTCTCCACACTCTTCATCTCTACTCTGACTTCCCAGGCAAAAATGGATTTTTTTTCTACTTTAATAGTTGTATAATAAATAATACTTTAAAGATGTTTACATTTCTACCTCTTTATGTGATAATTTGATGTTTTTATTGCCTTGTGTTTAAAATGTTTGTTCATTTTCTTAAACCTATTTTTCAGAGTGAAATCTGGGTATTTGTATGGTATGTTTCTTTTGAAGAGGCAGCATGGTGATAGATAGAGGGCTGGCCTTGAGCTCAGGAAGAGCTGGGTCCAAACGCTTACATCTCCCACACAGGCTCAGTGGCCATAGGCAAGTTAAAGATGATTCCCTGTATCTTCACTGGTGGAAGGAGTTTCCGTAGTAGAACTTCCCCACATTTCTGAGTGTAGGTCTCTATTCCTCTCCACAAAGTTATTTTTGATAAAAAAATTTTATTGTTTTTGTGTCATAAACATTTTTCTTATTTTGTTGCTTTTGCTTTATTGTGTTAGATTTTGTTATGTTTATTTTTAAAATATTAAAATTCTATGTGTTTATCTTTGTTTGTAATTTTCTTTTCTTTATTAATAATGGAATTTATCTTCTCTGTATCTGGGATAATTATTTTTTTTGTTGTTGGCTTCTAGTAATAGATTAGTTTTCAAAATTTATAATATATTTGAGATATATTGCAGTGTGAGGTATAGATTAAAAAATATTTTTTTTCCATAGTACCCCAACTATGTTTATTAAATACTAATTCCTTTTCCCATTATTAACTTATGGAATGATAAAGAATTTTGGAGCCAATAGGGATCTTAGAAAACTTCTAGTTCAACTTCTTAATTTTATAGATGAGAATACTGAAGTTCCACAAGGGAAGGTCATACAGCTTATTGGTAGCAGTGCTGCAATTAAAACCATGTCTTTTCATGACTACTGGGTTTTTTGTTTTTTTGGGTTTTTTTTGGCATACCATATAAATACTTATAATTGTTTTCATTATATATTTATATATATATTGGTCATTTTTGTTTATATCTCAGTACTATATCTTTCTTTGAAAATACATTTCTTTGCTAACATTGGTTTTTTTCCCACCTAAATTTGTCCCATTACTCCTCCTCTTCTCCCTTCTCTCTTCCCAGAGAGCTATCCCATATAAGAGTATTTTTTTTTTAAAGAAAAGAAAAAAAGGCTAGAGAATAAAGAAATAGTACATCCAGAAAGTCTGAAAATATATGCAGTGTACTCCACCCACTGACCTCACATTTCTGCAAGGGGGAAGTATCTTCAAATAGCTCTCCTTTGGGGTCACTATTTCTTTATAATTTTGTAGAATTAATTTTCCATTTTTTTTAGTTTTTCTATTTGCATTGTTGTAGTTATTGTGTATATTGTTTTCTTTGTGAGCTTGCTTCACTCTGCATCACTTCATGCAAGTCTTCATGCTTTTCCCTCTTAACTTTTGCCAACTGTGGTCGTGGGCAGGTTTCAACTTTTTGGTGCTCCAGGCAACTCTAAAAATTTAAGTTACAGATGAGTTAAGAATCTACATTAGTGAAGAGATATTTCTACAATGGGAGTTATCCTCCTGAGCTCACAGATCTGACAACTTCCCTACATTTTATAGGGTTAGAGGATAGCCTTCTGTTATTGACATACGTGCTGTAGTTTTGACCTGTTTGTCAACCTGCTGAACACTTTTTTTCTTTTACTTATTTAGAATGACAATAAATTTTGATGCAGTTCTTTCTTTTGGTCTTTTAGTCTGCCTGTCTCTCTATCCTTCTTATATCTCTGGATAGATAAAGAGTATAGTTTAATAGAAAGAGCACTGGATTCAGACAAGTTTGAATCCTGAATCTCCTGATCTCTTCCCTTTGCCAGTTGTTAAAATGATTATCTCAAAGACTTACTTGTTCTTCAAAGGTTTGAGAAAATTTAAGTAAGAAGTCATCTGGGTCCATTGTTTTTGGAAGGGTAACTCTCTGACTTAACTTTATTTCTTTTTTGGAAGCAGGTGCATTTGTTGTGGTACCTGTTATGGTAGTTTATGTTTTTGGAAATATTTCATTTAAGTTCTCAAATTTTCTTTTAGAATGTGTCATTCCCAGATAGTAGTCATAGTTTATCTTTGTATTTGTTATGATCACCTTTTTCATTTTTACTTATGGTGATTTTTTTTTTGATGAGTTAGCTAATGGTTTGTTAAAGTTATTGCCTTTTAAGGAAAAACACCTCATCCGGTTGCTGTATTTTTAATTTTTACCTATTTTTGTTTTCATATTACCTCCTTTTCTACTTTCCTTAAAGACTGTTTATGCTATTTTATAATTTTGTCAAGTGCAGACTATATGTTGCTTCTTTTTCACTCTTATCATTATAGATGATAATTATTTTTATGAATCATTTTAACAGTTCATTTCAATATTATGAATCCTACACATTTGGTCTAAGAATTTCTTTGGCTGTAGTTTGTAGATTTTGATAAATGACTATTTAAAAAATAGGGTTAACTTTGATTAAAAAAAATACAGAACACAGTTAATTTTTTTCTATCATGTTTGAATTTGGAAGCTGTGAGCCAAGAAGCTCTAATTAATCTATTTAAATAAACCCACAAAAGTGATGTAACTCTTAGGATTTGAGAATAAAATCTTTA